AATAATAAAATGTAAGTGTCAATAACTAGCCGCCTCTCTAACCCACACATCTTATTTTGTTTTGTCCATGGAAAAACTACAAGTTCCTCCTTAGTGCTCTGCCAATGGGAGTATGTATCCTACTATTGTCACTCATAGAATCATAGAATATCAGGGTTGGAAGGGACCTCAGGAGGTCATCTAGTCCAACCCCCTGCTCAAAACAGGACCAATCCCCAACTAAGCAAGACCACTCCTCAATAGATAATGGGGCAGAGACTTCTGTTATCTGCAACAAGTTCAGAAACTTAAGACACTCTGAGTGTAGGTCACTAACTCAGCTGAAGAGAGTCCAACTACCAAAGGGTTCACAAGACCAGCTGTAAAGTCACCCCTGGCATCAAGAGTACTAAAAAAGTCTTGATGAAAAGGTTCAGACAGCAAGAGATTTTAAAACTTTGTATGAGGAGCTCTTAGTGACAGAGATATGAAGGGGAGTCATGATCTCACCCAGAACCCTGTCTAGCAGGGGCCTCTTTGCAAAAGAAGAAGTTTAGTCTTTCCTCTTGAATTAGGCCCAGATCCCCTCAGGCTACAAACTGCTCTGCCAAACAAATGATTTGTGCAGCCTTTGCTGCATGACCTACTGTCAAGGTTCCTTCCCCACTCTGAACTTTAGGGTACAGATGTGGGGACCTGCATGAAAACCTCTAAGCTTAACTACCAGCTTACATCTGCTTTTGCTGCCACCGCCCAAATAGTTTGAGTCATTTGGGAAACTGTGTCTTCCCCCCAAAAACCTTTCCCTCCCTGGGTAGCCTTGAGAGACTCCTCCACCAATTCCCTGGTGAACACCGATCCAAACCCCTTGGAACTTAAAACAAGGAGGAACTAATCATTTCCCCCTCCCCCTTTCCCCCCACCACTTCCTGGTGAGTCCAGATCCAATCCCCTTGGATCTTAAAACAAGGAAAAATCAGGTTCTTAAAAAGAAGGTTTTTAATTAAAGAAAGGTAAAAATCATCTCTGTAAAATCAGGATGGAAAATAACTTTACAGGGTAATCAGATTCAAAGAGCCCAGAGGACCCCCCTCTAGCCTTAGCCTCAACATTACAGCAAACAGAGGTAATCCCCCTAGCAAAAGGAACTTTCACAAGTTGAGAAAACAAAGATAAACCTAACACGCCTTGCCTGGCTGTTACTTACAAGTTTGAAATATGAGAGACTTGTTCAGAAAGATTTGGAGAGCATGGATTGATGTCTGGTCCCTCTTAGTCCCAAGAGTGAACAACCCCCAAAACAAAGAGCACAAACAAAAGCCTTCCCCCCACCAAGATTTGAAAGTATCTTGTCCCCTTATTGGTCCTTTGGGTCAGGTGTCAGCCAGGTTACCTGAGCTTCTTAACCCTTTACAGGTAAAAGGATTTTCGTGTCTCTGGCCAGGAGGGATTATAGTATGGTACACAGGAGGGCTGCTACCCTTCCCTTTATAGTTATGACACCTACTTTCACCAAAATTATGAGATTTATCATACACATCACCAGGAAGCCTGGTTTGAGTGGGATTGGTAATTCAAAGTGAGTTGCTTTGCAATCTTCTTTCATCAAGGAAAGTAGTTCACATTACTATTTTAGAACATCTTAATTTAATGGACTCAAATGTGACCAACTATCGTTACTATGTTTTTACTGCCTCTATAGTAACAGAACTCTTAACTATAGCATTGCAAACCCACAGATTACAGATAAAACCAAAAACAAGGATTTAATTCTCAAAAGCTTGCTTAGCATCTCATTTTCACAAGGGATATAGTTTAAGTACAAAATTAATTTTTTTTTAATCTACTTCACAAGACTAGAATAGCTAAAGCAGATGCCACTCCAACCTTTTAAAGAGCACCAAGCAGCACTGTCTAGTGGAGGATACAGAACAGTCAGTAAGTCTTGTCATGCTACCAGAGTGACACTTTGTCCTGAGAGATTAGGAACTGTTTTTCCCTGCTCAGGGGAAGGTTCTTCCCCTTGAGATACCCAAAATGGAAACAGCCTCTCTCCTCTAGGTACAGATTGGGTATGGTAACTAGCTTTCCCTTCTGACAGTGACTCCTGGAAAGAAAGCATGGTAGAGGGCAAAATTACAGGCTACATGTAAGATTTTTGAAGGAAGTTTTTCTTCCCTCAAGTTTGCATGGCTGTCTTTTTCCATTCATCAGAATGCTTCCCTGGGTCCAGTGAGCCCATTTGGAACACAAGAGGGAGGTGTTTGTAACTTAGCCAAGTAAAGAAATAGTCATATTTTAATTGAAGAGTGAGACTCCAGATGAGCTCATTGGAAATACTGACAACTTCCACAGACAAACTAAAAATTGCACATAGCATAATAAGAGACAGACAAGGAACAGACTCCAGGCTGGCAGCCAAACAAGTGGATGGCAGCAGATTTGATATCTTTTTATGTTGTCTTCGACACTAGAATTGGCTCGGAGGCAGGTTTTTGAGAACAAGGCTAACAGCAACAGTGTGCAGTCACATAGCATTTTTATCAAGTGTGGGGGGGTTTTAAGGCACCACAACTTTAGCTGAACAAGGACATTCTTGGTTTTGTTTTGTTAACTGGTGATACTGAGATTCCAATTGAAGAAAACCTACGCTCCTTGAGCAGCATGGTATGCAGGGTTTTTACCCATGGGAAAAGGGGCCCATTGTGATTTGTGCACCATCATCTTCTATCCCAGGAGGCACCTTAACAGAAGACAACATCTGCCAAGCTAAACAGTGAGCACTTTCCATCAAGATCACAATGGTTTAAAAAAAAAAAAATACTGTTAGAGAGGTCTGACATCTGAGGTGAAGTCCTCTGATAAGTGGCAAGTTGACTATGCTAGGTCTCTTAAATCACAGTACAACACATACCATGATCCCAATTTGTGCTCAGTTAGGCTGCCTGGCATAGCAGGGAGATGTCAGAAATTTGACTTGTTTTGACAGTCACTTGGTTGGACAGAGAGTGTGTGCCACACAGATATGTGGCAAATTTTCACCTCTACACTTGTATGGTAAATTTTGCTGGTTTATTTTCTACTGAGAAGGGTTGATTCTGGAGTCAAATCAGCCCCCATCCAACCTGGCTTGCGTTAGCAGCAGAAATCACACCAGCTCACCAGATACAGCCTCTAGTTCTTTGTTCTTATCTGACTGTCAGAGACTGTGCAAAAAAGGTTATTTTTTCCATCCCCTCCACTGTGGCTACTGAAAAGTGACATGCATGCCTGCAGTCCTGTGCTCATCAGAAACATAACCATAAGCAACTAGCGGAGACAGCATAATCCAGTGGACCTGGGAGACAGGACAACTAGCTTTTGTTCCCTGCTCTACCACTGACTCACTATATGATCTTGGGCAAGTCAGATCACATCTGTACTTCAGTTTTCCTAGGTGTACAGAGGGGAGAATGATACTGAGCTGTCTGCAATCTTTGGATGAAAGTGGTAAGAAAAATGGTATAACCTAGAGTATATTTGTATTAAAATCTTAATTAAAAAACACACAATAAGGGGAGCTGTCACCCAATCCTTTCACACCCCCAAAATGAATTAGTTTGACCTTGCCATTCCCCCTACCAGCCTCTTTTTAGAGATGGGGAAACAGAGGCACGGAGCGGTGAAGTGACTTGCCCCATGTCACCCAGCAGGCAAGTGGCAGAGTCCGAATGGAACTCAGCTCTCCTAAGGCCCAGGCCGAGTGCTCGGACCCTTGCACCACTCCAGGAATCGGTTTAACAATCCAAACCCCTGCATGGACACTTACTTCAGCTCAGCTCAAACCTGTTCGAACGCGGTTTAAGCGAAACAAGGCCAGCGGGAGGAGAAAGTGGGTCCGCCCCGGCTTCTGCACCGGTTTAACCCAGAACTTGTTCCCACACAAGTGGTGCTGCTTTCAAACACCCCCACCCCGTTGGGGGTGTTCCTGGGAGCAGAGCCCGCCTAGGGAGACAACTTCCCCCCTTCTAGAGGGGGCAGGAATCAGCCCTGACACGATCACCCCGCACGGACATCGCCACACGGGAGCGACCCTGCGGGCGGGCGGGGCCGCCCCAGCCCTAGCCAGGCCCGGGAGCCGGGCAGGCCCCCGCTCCCCGAGCACGCCCAGCCCGGCCGGCTGTGTGCACAGGGCGGGGCGGGCAGCGCGGCCCCGGGGCGTTTCCTGCGCTCCGCACGGACCGGCGAGAAGCGCAGCCCGGGAGGAGGGGGGACGTCCCGAGCGCTGGGCGGGCCCCCGCCCGCAGCCCCCCGCCGGGGGCCGGACCGGAGCCGCGCCCCGCTGCCGGAGCTGAGGGGGCTGCTCCGGGGGGGGGGGCGCGGCGGGGACCCCCCTCGCTATCATCCCCCCCCAGCCCGGGGGCTGGTCCAGACTCCGCCCCCCCCAGCCCGCACCCCACTCACCACCACGGCGGTGACCGGCTGCCCCGGGATGTACGACATGGCCCCGCCCGGCAGCTCGCGCCCGACTCGCCGGCGCTCCCGCCGCCTCGCCAACAAAAGGTCCCGCCGGCCCCGCCCCTCGCTCCGCAGCCCAGGAGCCAATCGGGCGCCGCCTCAGGCCGAGGGAGCGCCGGCGCATGCGCATTGAGAGCTGGGCGGAGGGGGCGATGTTTCCCGGCAGCCTTTATTCCAAGATGGCGGGCTCCCGCCTGCGGTAGGGGCGGGTAAGTCGTTGCTCTTACCTCGGCGGGGCCGGGCAGCCGCTGGGGGTTCGTAGAGACGTCGTGCCGGGCCTCGCCCTCGGGTCAAACCGAGCCCGGCGGCGCTGCCTCAGGCATGTCCTTTGGGCGGCCCCCGTCCAGGCCTGGGCCTCCGGCGCCCCCCCGGGCGGGAGCAGGGTGAGGGCGGGGGCTGGGCTCCGGCGCCCCCCCCCGGGCGGGGGCCGGGGGAGGGTGGGGGCGGGGGTTGGGTACGGGTAGGGGCGGGGTGAGGGCACCCCGGGGGGCTCGCCCCTCCCCTCCCCCCGTGCCCAGGAGGGCGCTGGTCTTGCGCTCGGGACCCGCTGTTTCTTGTGTAGCCGCCAGGCTGCAGGAGGGGCGGAGAGTAGTTTCGAGGCCGATATTCTGCCCCATAAAGGTGCAGGAGCGAGCTGGGGCCAGCCTGGTTCTGCGGCCTAGGGCAGTGTCCCCTCTGGCCCGGCCATGGCACTGAGACTCCGTCCCCCAGGCTGATCCTGTATCCCAGCCATGCTCAGGGCTAAGTGGCAGCTGCACTCGGTGTCTTGGCTGGGGGGAAAAGCAGCGCTTTCTTTTCGTCCCTCCTGGCGTCGGTGACCCCAGAGAACACTAAACCAGTGTTCCAAATTCCTCCTCTGTGCTTCACTCAGCGTGGGGGAAATGGAGCTAGCTTGGGGCTGGGTGGTTTTGCTTTAACCAGGGAAAGGAGGAGACATATCGATTTAAATCTGCTTTTACTGCTATTTTGTATAATGTGTCTATGAATATTAAGGTTTGTGAAATCTTTTTTTACAGAAAACTACAGTTGGGGTCCAAACGGCTTGCCAAACCCTTAGTCTTCTGTGTTCTGGTTGCATTCTACCTCAGGTAATTACATTATGAGGCCCTCCAAATTGTCCAGAAGCTTCAATTAAGCACAACACCCTTTGCTTTCAGTCCTGAACTTTTATGTAGGGTTGCTACTGAACAACTATCATGTTCCACCCTAGTGATCACTGCATTACACTGCTGAGTAGAGTGATCCCTGTATCTAGTTATTTTGGGTCTAAGCCCAGTGGAGGAGGGGTTCTTTAATATTAGTAAAGCACAGTGAAATCATTGGATGAAAAGTGCTATAGAAATGCCAAGTAGTGGCTTTAATGCAGTGTGCAGCTACGTGAGGCTAATTGGGTCCTGTAGTGTCTCGATACTTCTTCCTTGGATTTAATTACAACCTCTGAATTTAGGTAGTTAGCTAAAGAAGTGGCATTGTTGAACAGACCAAAATGATAGAAATTTAAGTGTAAATAGGAAATCTTACCCAAACTCTCTTTGTGCTACAAAAAGGGTGTGAATTTAAAATGTGGGTTACTGTTACAACTACATGTATGTACACTACAATATATTGAAGGAGAAGGCCATAGAGATGAGTAACCTCATTATAAATTGGGCTTGCAAGTCTTATACTGGAAGCTGTGCGCTTGGGGCAAGTGGCTGCCCAGGAGAGATTCAAATGCTGCCCAGGTGATTAGCAGAGCATGCACACCCATCCTGCTTGCTGGGGAGGAGGGGAGAGAGAGAAGGGTGCTGATGTCAGGATGTCCCCCTCTCCCCCGCACCCCATCTCGCCAGAGCAGGGCAGAGGGGACACAGCCTGGCTCAGGAAGCACTAGGGTGAATGGTGAATGCCTTTCTTAAAGAGACAGTGCACTGTTTCTGAGATTTCCCCAGAAGCCAGCTCTCTGTCTCTCACATACACACTCTCCCTGCCCCTGTACCCCATCTCTGCAGAGGAGGGGAGAGGAGACAACAGGGCTTAGAACAGCAGGAGAGCTTTCAGTGTCTTAAAGAGACAGCACATGGCAAAGTGGGGAGGGAGAGCTCAGTGGTTTGAGCATTGGCCTGCTAAATCCAGGGTTGTGAGTTCAATCCTTGAGGGGGCTGTTTAAAGAACTGGGGTAAAAATCTGTCTGGGGTTTGGCCCTGCTTTGAGCAGGGGGTTGGACTAGATGACCTCCTGAGGTCCCCTCCAACCCTGATATTCTATGATCTCAGAAATATCACCAGCACACACCCTATCTCTGTGTGTCTCTCACACTCTCTCTCTCACACTCACCTCCCAGCACATACTTGTATTAATGTTGTTACTACTTGGTACTTCCTGCAGTGCACATATATTCTCTGTAATTTCAAAGTGTATTATTTTTAATGTTTTGACTGGTGTATGCATGTCATAATTTTTATTTCTCTTACACTTAAATTTAATTCTTTGAGTAGTGAGTTCTAAAATGCCTAACCTGTCCTGACTTGGAAGGATAAATTCATTTTTTTTTAGACTCTTACTAAAGCTGGCCTAAATTTTTCTTACTGTAACAAGTACATTTGTGTGCTGTAGACATACAGTAGTGAGATTGGTTCAGTTTTGTTTATATGTGTGGTGTTGACTGTAAAGGGCTCCGAGGTTGAGATGTAAACTTACCTGATTAACGCAAGTTAATTTTATATTTACATAAAATCCAAGTGTAGACTACCTGATTTGCTTGAACGTTTTAGCAGCTCTTTGAATACCATCAGTTATAACAGCTAGTAGACACGTGAATGGCTCCTTGATTTCTTGTAGTTATTCAAAGACCACCACTTATTTCTAGTACAGATAACTGGGAATACAGTTTGTCCAAGACACTACTCATCAATTTACTGATGGTGATTTGTGCTAAAGAGGTCAATTTCCAAGTAGCTGTGCATTTTTTCACTTTCAGTTCCTGCTGTTAGTTATGGACAGGAGGGAAAAGAATTGTTCCATCCCATCTTCCCAAATAAAATGAAATTGACTTAATACAATAGTTTGTTCTCTCCTTTGACCTAGTCTCGTTGGGAGAAAGACTTGACTCTAAACCAGAGCAATGGCTACAATGGTGGCTAAGCGAGAAGGGCCTCAGTTCATCAGCGAAGGAGCAGTCCGAGGGAATGCAGCCATTCTGGATTATTGCAGGACATCCGTTTCTGCCTTGTCAGGAGCAACAGCAGGAATTCTTGGCCTGACTGGTTTACATGGCTTCATCTTCTACTTCTTGGCCTCTGTCCTTCTCTCAGTGCTTTTGGTATTAAAAGCTGGACGGCGGTGGAATAAGTACTTTAAATCCCGAAGGCCACTTTTCACTGGGGGGCTTATCGGAGGCCTCTTCACGTATGTCCTCTTCTGGACTTTCCTCTATGGCATGGTGCATGTCTACTAAAAGAGTAATAACCACTTTAGCTGCAATGGGTTTTAATGAAATAGGAGGACTGTTGCCAAAAACTCATCTAAACAACTATGCCAGCTTTTTAAATTGTTGTTCACTGCTTGTATTGTTAAGGCGGTCAGTAACTTATGTCTGAGTACAAAACTCTGTAGTATTTGTCTAATTAAATTGAATGTAAAATGTCTTATAGAAAAGTCACTTAAATTGCTTCCCACACATTTATAAGTATCCCCTGAATCGCTAAAAATCACCATTTATCCACCATTCTTGGCTGACTTTATTCCTTTTACATTTTGCCTCTGTAAGATCAGCAATAGCAGCTCTATTTTATGTTGTGTTCCCACTGTCACCGTTTGCACCAGCATCCAAGCATTGGTAAAAACAGTATCTTTAGCCATAAGCTTAATGCAATGAAATCTGAAAGGAAACACTGACACAAAGTTAGTTTCATGGTAATATGTAATTAAATGTACATGAAAGTGGACAGAAGTATCTTATTTGTCTGGATCCTTAGTGTAAGTGCTGTGATCCTGGGTATAGTCACTTTACAACTAGGAAATTAAAGTTACTAAAACATTTCAATCTCTTCCATGCATTGCTTTTGCAGAGCATACTTTTTGTAATGGCAGATATAAAAGGCAATAAGTAGTACAGTCATGAGTCACTGTTTGGGGTTTTTAGTGGTATTTGCACAATGCTTTCCACTGACATAATACTACATTATGCCAAAGGAAACCACAGTGTCCTATGAATCAGTATCCGTTATAGCTAAAATGAACAAACCCACAGCTAGAGATCTGGAATAGACTCACTTAGTATTTCCCCAAACTTACAATGCATTATTGTGGTAATATTTCATTTTCTGCAAGAAAATCAAGGACAGACTGAGCTGTAAACTGCAGCTTTCAGCTATAGGACAGGCCCTACAATCCCTCATCAGTTTTCTTAGTGAGCGGGTATATAGTCTCTGCACTTGTATGGTGACAGGGTTCTAAAGCACACTTAGCAGTATTTCCATACAAGGAGAAAATTGAATCAGCAGTAGCATTTTTGCAATTCACCCTATTCTGAAGCATAAATTACTAACCAGTGACACAGAACATTCAGTGTAAAACATTTTCCCACTTATACTTTGAAATGCTTTTTTTTAAATAGTCCGCCCTCTATTTTAAACTTTACTTCATATTGAAACAAAGTAGTTATATATGAAAGAGGGAAATTGACAATGATACTATAAATACTGTCTGCCATACTATATATTTACAGTCAATATACCTTTGGTCTCCTGCAAAATAACATGGTCTAGTTACTGAATTCTGTCAAAGCTATTTTTCTATATTGAGTCATGCATCTTTTAAACATGGGCATTTTAGTTAACTTAGATGGGCAGCTTTATTAATATACTTGTACTGTTCAAATGTTATGTATGCAATTCAAAACAAAATGGGGAAACCAGCGTGTATATGGTTAATCATCATTATCTAAAATAATACAACATACAGAAAAGACACAACATTGCCCTACAATAGACAAATTCCATTGCTATATATTAACTCCAAGGAAAAATATCAAATTTTGTAAAAAGAAAAACTCCTGAGAATCCGATAGTTACTGTTTATGACTAATCTCTGCACTGATTTACCTTAAAAAAAATATATATATAGGATGGGGATTGAGTTTTGTGATGAGGGACCTAAAGCCTTCAACTCAGGAAGTGGGTTAGGTCCTTTCTAACAAGGTAACATTATTTTGGCAAGTTAAAGTATTAGACTACAGAACAGGCCTAGCCTTGTTTTTGTGATAAGCTGTTTGAGTGAATCATACCGTAGTCTGAGGTGATATAGCATTGTATTATATTTGTTTCAGCTTCAAAAACTACTTAAGTATAGATGGTTAAGATCGAGTTATGTTGGCTTAGTTAAGTTTACACAGTCCTGTTTGCATCAAGCCAATGCTGTCAGGTTTCACCTTAAAGTCATTCACCAGTTGTTGTTTTTGAATTGAGTTAAAAGCCTGACCTGGGGCTATTAATGTCGTATTTCAAAGCAAGGCAGTTTAATCTTCACCATCTACCATTTTCATCCAAGGCTAGTGAGTCAAATTCATCCTAAGGAAGCACAGAGCCAAGAAGAATTGACTTTTGTGGTTTTGCTTCCTAGTATTTTTTCCTACCACTTTTGGGAAGTTATATCACCATCTGAATTTAGGTCATAGAGTTTTGTGAGTCAGAAACAAAGGCTCATTGTCCTTTCAAAAGCCCGTGTAACCAAAAAAAAGTTAAGTATTAGATTTCTAACTTTTAAATAAATCCTGTAACTTGTAGTAGGCTGGGAGATACAGAATGACGTGGGAAACAAATTGGTGCTATTCCTCTCCACACACCCACATTTCAAACTGTGGATAACAAAACAGACAGAGTAGCTGTCCCTGACTAGAGCTGCCTGATCCAGTAACCGTGACTATCCATTCCTACTGGCAGAAGCATCAAGTTCCTCTTTTGTCAGGAATCAGTAAGTAAGGTAGAGAGGATAATCATCCCTGAACCAAACAAAAAGCACAGTGACAATAAAAAGGAGTTGCTGAGAAAAGCATGAAACCAACTGGTGAACGAAGGGAGGCTTGGTCATTGAATGTGCTGTCATTGACAGATGCCTTGATGCACACTGTTAACACACTGAATATTTGATACTTTCTTTCCATATTCAGCTTCCAATGGCTGTTTGTCCAAAAGAAAATTCAGACAAAAGTGTTAACATCAGGCCAGTAATAAAAGCATATGTCAAGTTCCTTAGAAGCATCACCCAACTTGTTTCAAAATATTCCCCTGATCAGCTACCTGCTGTGCCACACTATGTTTTCTTGTACCCCAAAATGTCAAGTTACCTGGACCAATTACTAGAGGACAAACCTCATCCCTTTACTGTAGGTTATTCTGGCATTTTTAAACACTAGATTTAACAAAAGTTCTGTATTAATTTGCTCATGAGAGCTTTGCCAGGCCAACTGCAAATATCACTGAGCCTGGTTGGTTTTGGAGTGGGGTTGGTAAAGTGCTTCTATGGAAATAGGAGGATACCATGGTCTATAGAGTAAGGGCTCTTCCTGTGAAAACATCTTGAGAGTCACTTTACCTTTGGTATGATGATATTTGAACTACAGACAAATTGAATGGAACGCCGGATCTTATTTATCTCAACACCAGCCCAAAGGATTTCAATCTGCTCTTACAGGTAGATCATACAGGACTTGGGAACTGGTGTTGCAGTGCAGCTGAACAGAAGGCGATTCTGGTTTCCCAACCTCAACTCTCTTAACAATGTCAAATTCCACGTGTCTTTGTCACTGACCTTTCACTAGCAGAAGCAATGCAGGGCTGCAGAAGCAATGCAGGGCTACAGAATAATGCTGGTTATCTATTTATGTGCATATAAAAATGTTGCCTGGTTTCTTCTACATTTTTCTTTATAATACAAAAGTTCTATAGCAATGACACAGGAGTCCCCAGCTCAAGATAGGGAAGGAGTGCCTTAGGTCAGAAGGTGTGATATTTTTAGCAAACTGCTCTCTTGAACAGAATAGCTATAACTGACCTTCTCTGGGCATCCAAATGATACAATAGACCTGACCATGGCTGTCTCCACCTCAAAGTTTGGTTGCTGTGTTTTACCATCGTAGTCTTTATGGAACATGTTTTCCAATTGACAGACCCTTAGGTCTCAACTGTCTGTAGTTGTCTCAGCTGCTCTAATGTAGCCAGCGATTCTGAGTTCTGGTTCCCATTCGCTGTTCCACCTGGTAAAGACTTTCTTGAACTGGACCTGTGGGAACAAAAGGCAAGAATGGCAGTACCTTACGTTTATTTACCTTGCAGTGAAGCAGAAGAGGAGTCTTGGTGGGACCTTCAGCATTTCCAAGAGACAGAGACAAAGAATGTTTAAACCATTGCTTCTGGAGATGGGTAAATTTCTCCCTGGCTTGGCTAATGGACAGAACTGAGCCATTTTCATAAGTAGTCTGTTTTGACTAAACTATAAGTGTTCATAACAAACGTTTGTTGTTTCAATTGATTGTTTTTTAAGGTCCATTTGTGCATCACAGAAGCTACGCTGAGTCATAGATTTTTGCATAATGCCCACAATGGCCTCAGGGCACCTTGCTGTAGCTCTAATTGGAGCTCCGCACATAGCCACAGGCACAAATAACCTTATCTATTCCACGAAGCTCACACTGAATGTGTGATGTCAAGTCTTTTAGAAAAAAAATCTTTCCCACAATTTTCTGGCAACTTCATGATTGAAACAGAGGGGTCAGTTGTTCCATTGATATAGATCTGTAAACTCCCTGTTAGTTCAAGTAGATTGCACACAAATATAATCAAAAGGACCTTGGATGCTACATGAAAAATAAATGTCAACGTGACGCTCAGACTTCAGGGTTCAAAGCAATGGAGCGCTGACACTGTGACAATGTTCTATTACAGGAACTTTGTACTCGAGGTTTTATCAGATGGACGCTGGTGCAGCAGAGTGACTCACTCTGCCATTCTCAGTTGGCTGAACTCCAGTGGCCCAGAAAATAGATCTACAGGGTCTAAGTCTGCCGTAACTGAGAGGACATGGCCCCTTTTGCATCCCAGCCAGGCCTATGTTAGCTTAGCCCTGAAGCCACCCTTTAACATAGCAGCTCTCGGGCTGGAGTTCTGATTTTCATCTTTATAAGTGAAAGGAAAAGGCATCCAGGGCTTTTAGTAGTTGCCATTGATTCCATTTGGCATCATTATGGATGGAGAGCCAGGAGCCATTTGCAGCCTGAACAATGACACAGCAGCTTCCCTATTTCCCTGACTCCAGCAATGACTTACAGAGGGAGCAGCTTGGCTATACTCATCTGTATGCGTGTAATTTCCTGGAATCAAATGCCCTCCCTCTGCAATTAAAATGTCCTGTGTTTCTATATTTCTGTCCATTTAATGATTGGACAGTATAATGCTACACACATAAATGCAACAAGAGTCCCACTTACTTCACTTCCTCATATTTTTTGCCTCGATAGAAGTTGCTCTTTTTCATCAGATACAGTAGCACCACGTCACAGAAGAAAGCCCCCTGCAAAATATTGTAGGCAGCACATTAAGCAACTGAAAGCAAATGCATAATCTCCCTGTAAAAATCCCCAAAGCCACTACATTATCCTCCTCCCAATCTCTCCTGAAAACTCACCTGTGCTGTGAAGCCTACAAAATGTTTGACAATGGCTACTCTTAGCCAGTGTACCGTGACTGTTGCTTATTATGGTAATCACGATCCTCCCACTGTCACCTTGTGCTCTCGTTTGCGTATTGCAGCCACCTGTTCTCTCACATTCAGACTGTAAGTTCTTTGAGGTTGGGACTGTCTTTGCCTTATGTGTACACAGCACCTAGCACCTTGGGGTCCTGATTGGCAACTCTAGGCACTACTGCAGAGCAAATAATCATGTCTTCAATCCCAACCTTGCATGTGAAAAGCTTTAGCAAAGCAATTGTTTCCACTTTATGGGGCCAGAATACCCTAGGCTACTAGATATCACTTAATTAGATAGCTCCAGGGCATCTGAGCACCACACAACACCCCTGTGAGGCAGGACAGTGGTATTATCTGTCCCAGTTGTGCAGATGGGAAACTGAGGCATTGAGAAAGTACGTGACTTGCCCAAGGTTCATGTTGGCATGGAAAACACACTGGGTTCACAAACATCAACATCCTCATTTTCTACACATGGACCAGGAATGTAGTGAGATTCTATTTAGCTTTTATTCATTAACACAGCAATATGCCAATTTCCCTCAGGTGGAGTATCTTGCTCAAATTGGTTTCAGACAATGGAACAAACGAGAAAAAAAAGACACCAAGTCACAATTCATAGGAGGCTTATTGTAAAGTTTACTCAGTAATAATAATTCAGTGATAATGGGATTAATCTTGCCTTGTCTAGGCTTTCATACCATAGTCATCACCATGGTATCTGAGCTAAGAGATGTCCGCATATCACAGCTGCTTCCTTGTACCATGTGTTGCATCTCTCAAGTGCAATAGGTCTGATTTGCAGTGGGCACTGGTTAAAGGAGGAAAACTGAAAGTCTATGGCACTGTTTATAAACTAAGCATTTATACTGTGCTCATTACTGCAGTGTCTATTCTCCCTACTGGGGTGCCCACAGCACAAAGTGTATTAACTGATGGCTCCCTTCTAAAGGCACAAACCCAACCAATCAGCCTTTCTAAAGAACGTGACTATTTTTTCAGGCAAACTGTTTATCCTGGAAACATCTCAACCACAGGATTTGGACATGGTTCAGGTTCTGATACTTTTCTTTCATCCCCAAAGAGGATGATACATTTACTTACTGCACCCATAAGCGCGAGTCCTGAGCCCACGTTGATTATCGTTGGAATGATGTTAAATTTACCTGCCTGAAAGAAATATAAAACACTTAGTGCTAGCCGAGCAGTTACCACAAGCTGAACTGATGGCCATAGAGTTACACGTAGGGTAAATTTGGCTCTATGCATGTGTTTGGTTAGCAATACGTGATAGAAGCCACCAGGCAGAGTTACTGAGCATGCTTTGAGACTAGTGCTACATTCTAAGAGGCATGTGTTTGTCTGGTAGCAGCCTGGCCCTGCTTGCCTTCCTGAGCCTGTGACGTCACACCAGACTAGGTCTCTCCTGAATGCTGATCCTCTTTCTCCAGCTCTACTCTCATACTACAGTGGGTATTGGCAGGGAAACCAAATAATAGCTTCCATAGTCCTCGCACTGCTGAACATCACATGGACCAGTTTCCTCAATGAGCATGAGAGGTGTAGAGAGGATCCTGCAGGCTGATATTGACTAATCTATTGATCTTACTTTGAGCAGCCCAGGGCATCCCTTCAGCTTCACTCCAGGCTCTTTTCTTCCCTTTGTGTATCAAGTCAACTTGCTAGTGCCAATGAAACATTGCCTGCCAAGAATCCTGCCCCATCACAAACAAGGGGGTGGTTTCGCCCTAGGGTTGCTCTTCCCCACTCTGGTGGTACCTACCCAACAACAAAAGTCTGACTCCACCCTTGTTTCTTCTAGGACCAGAAATATCCTGGCATAGGCTCCTCACCTTGCCATTCACCATCACATCAAAGCGTATTCCGTAGGCTTTTATCAGTGTCCTGTACTCAACTCCTTCAGCATCCCTGTAATATTTGGCAAATCTAGAAAGCAAAGAATGCAAGAACATTGATTTTAACCCAGTCCCCTGCCTCCCTCATGTAAGAACAAGTTTGAATTCACCCTCTCTGTTCAAACCTAGGTATATTTCTCTTTAAAAATCCGGGGTATATTTGATTAACAAGCATGACCTTGTCCTAAACTTGAGGTCTCAGAGGAGCATGTGGATGGGTTCTGTATCAGCCAGTTCTTGACATGTTTCATTTCTAGCCTTAGCCAGACTAATGGGAAAGCCTGTCTTGCTGGGTAGCTCTAAGCCCACTGAAATCACTGTAATGGCCTCAGCGTACATTTCCTTATCATTAGAGTGGGAAATTGGAAGGTAAAAACCCTACACCTGTTCGATGTCATGACTGGAACCCATGGATCACTCTCAGTGGCTGGCTGACCCTGGTGGGGGTGATGATGCAGGAGCAGTGCTTAATGCAGAATATGAAAGACTCAGCAAAACTCATAGACAATCTTTGTAATTCTAGATTAGGAATCACTGCAA